CAAAAATAATAAGTTTTCCTATTCATGTTTTTTTATCATCTGCGATAATTAATTTTTTGGAAATAATATATGCAGATATTTAATCAGTAGTATTATAGATTTTTATTTAGTTTTCAAAGAGCTGAATATTAAAGATTATGTCCAACGAAGCAATATGACGACACAGTGGTTATAGCGAGTATATTAGTAGGTGAGTCAGTATGGACGAGAGGATAAACGTGATTTGGAAATACATTGGGTACTAAAGTGTATTTTACTCTAGGCAAATTTAAAGATTGTTGCTTGTTCTTATTTAAAATATTTTTATGACTACTAATTTACAGTGCCTATTAATTGAATACCAGTATTCAATATGGAACCAGTATCCAGGTGTTTAGATTATTATTAATCGTATTTTTTTCTTTTCTTTTTTTTGAACCATCGTTGGATTTAAAAACATCATACGAAACCGTATCCGGTATTGAAGTTTACAGATTTATTTCTTTATGCTTAGATTTCTTTATTTCTTAATTAACACAAAAGATTCAATTAGATACTACGTTTATTTGTTTGCTATAAACTTACATAAATTATTTTCAAGTTTTAATTTTATGTTGTATTTCAGCATTGTATTTGATTTATTATAATTTTAAACAATGCAGTTAAGGAATTTTATGAATATGAATGTTATGTCATTTTATAGAATTTTCCATCAATACTCGAAAATTTTCGATGGTGACATGTGRTCGTAGACATAATTGTCGGGTCTTTGGTGATTAATAAGATAATAATTTCATTTGTCATTTCTGTCTTAAATGATTGTAAACACAATAAATTAATAATGTTTTATCGATGCAATTTATTTTATTACTGTAGTTATTGTGTTATAATATTATAATGTTTTCCTAAAATTTTATAATATATAAAAAAAATATATTTTCGCAGTGAAAATATTATAATAATTAAATAATCTGTTACTTATATTTATGGTATTTACCGTTTTAACTATAATTGATTAATTTAAAAATACCAATTATAAAATGTTTGTTGTCATTCAAAAGAGTAGGTGAACATCATAAAAATTGATATCTATAAAAAATAGTGAACAATTTAATTTGTTTTCAATAATGTGGCTTTTTACGACTTAAAGTAAGGTATATATAAAAGAAAATATTTTCAAAATCATTAGATTTCTGAAATGAGTGTTTTACGCATTAAATTGATCACCACGTATTTGGGTTTGACATTTTAAGACAGCCTTCGTATTGGTGCTCGTTAAATTATAGGATTTTCGATTTCCGATTGGATAAAAATGTCCAGAGATAACTTGTGTCTTTAATATCTTTTATCAACGTTTCTGGAGTTGAATTTCAACAAATCTCTTCTTAGTGATTTCCTCTGAAGTAGAAACCACTGTGAAAAGTGTCAAGATTCTATATTCTGTATAGAATCTGTGCATGCCAGTTAATCAGTTTCATCTTTTTAGGTGTATAAGATTATTTTAAATTGAAGAATATATGTAATATATTTACTTTAAAATTAATTTGACGTGTACAATAACATGCCAATCGTCATATTAGTATAACATTATTATAAGATGTGATACCTTATTAATCAAAACAAATTGTAAGTTTAATTTATTTCATTTTAATTGCAACTTTGTATTCTTGTGTTTTTTAATTTAGATAAATCCAATTGGATGTGTTTTGTGCGACCAGCAAAAACAAAACACGAACAGAACATGATTGTTGACCAAATCGGGGATTATCTTTATTTTACAACTACAAGAGCAATTTACCAACGAGAAGAGTTACTCGTTGGATACAGCACATTTTATGCACATAAACGAGGCTTACATGTATTATTGCCTGCAGGTCAGTAAAGTATTATTATTATCGATCGATAATTATTATTGAAGATACTTAATAACAATTAAGTATTGTTTTTACTTTCTATTGGCTATGGGCCTTTATACTTGTGGTACTCACAACAGCCGATTACTAACATATCGTATTTTTTGAGGCCTGGTATGGTGGTTTGCCGCAGTCACTAAATATTTACATCGTTTTGCACCATTAGCTCCCGGATTAGTTATTACATAAATTTTTAGAGACGAATTCTGTCCCCCACATACTGTCATGTTTCTAAACCAACCGTAATTCCCTTTAAAAATGCTTAAAAATGCTGATAACTATTATGCAGCTTAAGTTCAATAATAATAATAATAATAATAATAATAATAATAATACTAATAAAAAACAATTGTATTTTGACTTTATTAATTTACTTCATTCCGATTTAATTTGGCGCATAATGTGATGAGTGATATTATGGTGTTACAATCGCTGCATATTAATTTTAGCTACTTGACAATGGATATTGAAATCCATATTAAGATTTAATAAAAAGATAAATTTTATTAATTAAAAATTATGAATGAGTGGAATGCCTTTGTAAAAATGTGATATTTTCAATCTGTTATAAATAGGCTTTTTCTTCTTTTATATAATATATCATTTGCGTATTTAATGATTTTATATAGGGTACCTATCTACATCAAACGAGTTATTATCAACAAGGGGATGACAAAGTGGGATCGTGTAGTGGAAAAATTGTTGAGTTCATTCTCTGTAGTTCTAAGTTTTGGACTCGAAAGATGCTCGATATTGATGACAGGCTTACATGCGGGTGAATAATAATTGTTTGTGTATTAGCCAAGTCAARCGTTTTAGGAAAGGTCCGAGCTTAAAGCTTTAAAAAAGATATTAAAGTCCATCTAAAAATTCAATGAATATATAATAAACGTTGCAATTTGCATTACGCATTTAACTGTAAATACATTTACGGTAGCCGGTAGATAATAGATATATAGCTATAACTTTATTATGCATATTATTATAAACAGAGTTTTATTAAAATATTCATTTAATACCATACCTGAGTGGTGTACTGGTATCATTCGGGTTAACCGAGGTTGAAAATAAATAACGATTATATTTTTACTTTTTTTTTGTAATGGAACTCAGAAAAGCTACGAGAACCAATGAAGTAACTAAAATCATTTCTTTATAATATGGTTTAATTCAAAAAATATTCAMTATCGAAACTTGAACATTCCACAGTTACTCAAATCATAATTTTCCATACGCAAATACGMWATACAGTTTAAAAAATAATTGGACTAATTTTAAGCTATTATACCACGTCCGGAGGAGAAGTATTGGCAACATAGTTCCTTCTCCGGTCCTCGATACCATAGAAAAAAAAAAATAAAGCTATTATACCACGAACCTTTTTTGAATATTTTAAAAGGTATTGACTTATAAGTGTTGATTATAATAATATAATATAATAGTATTATGGTATAATATATAGGTTACGTTTTTTTGCCAAACTATATCAACCAATTTTCGAATAGTAAAATATACTACTATAGGATATATGTTTTATTAGTTATGTACAAATATATTATAAAATATCCTATTGCAACTTTTTTGGCTGATAATATAATTCCTTGTCGTTTTTCATATGTATTGATTTGCTTTCTAATTGAAATCTAATTTAATTATACTTCCATTATAGCTACTCAATAACCAGGTATACTATGTTAAATCTAAATTTACCATATTCTACGTAAGTTGACGAATATAATGCCGGGTTTACACCAAGCTGACAAAACAAAAAACACAGACAAAACAGCAACTAACTCAAATTTTAATCATTTGGGCGACAAATAAGAAACAGCGATAAAACAGCAACTTTCTGTTTAYACAAAAAAAAAGAAAATGGAAACTTACTACGAAAAATGTTTCTTTTTTGTATTTTTAGCTGTTCACACTGCAAAGACAAAACAGATACAAAATTCGTGATTTTATTATTTATACATCAGATGTTGCAACACTAGTTTACACCAAATAGGCTTATGTTGCCGAAAATAGAAACAAAACAGAAACCCTTTGATGTTTACCGCTTTTGAGCGGACACAAAAATGTCTTTAGAAACACAAACATTTCGTCGCCAGAATCGATTTTGTCGCGGAAATGTTTCCATTTCGTCGCCGATTTGTCGCGAGACAGAAAGTTGCTGTTTTGTCGGCTTGGTGTAAACCCGGTATCACAATTTGGGGCAACATGTTCTTAAAACTGGAACGAAGTTAATATTTGTGTTAGTTTAGGGTGAGGTATATCGTAAATTAATGAGTAATTAAAAAAATATTTTTGAATACACAACCATACTATATTAATGATTCTGGTGGATATTGTAAATTAAATAATTGAAATATTTTGTAACAAGCTTCAATGGCTCTTACAATTGAATGAACCTTATACTTAATACAATCGAAATAAACTAATATTTCTTTAGTATTAAAAATTGTCCAACAACAAGTATAAGGGGTTGTATAGAATTGACCTGTTTTTTAAGTTTTTAAATGTGAAATTCCATCATTTTCACAGATTCCCCAAACATAATAAAACTTTCTTAATTTCTCGAAAATCTTTTATAGAAAACTTAAGGTTTTTTCTACCATTATCATCTTTTGTTACTTTTATAGATGTTGGTGCAAACRTTCTATGTAACAAATACATCAAAGCAGCATTCTTTACATCTATAAATAAAAACATTTGTTTTTAACATAAATGTAGAATTTATTTATCTATTGTTTAAATAGTAAATGAGTATTAAATGTAGTTTTTTTATTGGGTTACTTATGAAATTCCCTTGTATGACTTACCAACTCTCTCTCTCTCTCACATACACACACACACT